TCACGCATGAGTTAAACAAAAATCAAAACAAAAAGATAACATGAGGACGACACATAATTTACATCGTGAACCTCCGAGACGGGCAAGGTCGCATCGTCCCTTCACCGCTCTAATCGGGTGCGCCAACTGTACATCCTGCGGCCCCATCGACAGGATAGGTTCCCGCGAGGCACGACTTGCTTCCCTAAGGGGTTGTCACCACCCTTAGGAGCGTATTCCTACCGAGATACTGACCTACATGCGAAAACTTTTAAATGCAATTGCAAAGGTAGGCCAACCGATGATGTTTGCTCGCTCGCTATAGTACAGTTACGTGCGGTTAAAACGCCTATTGAACCCGGAAGTCGCTCGTTCGTTAGGGCGTTGATCTCTTAAGTACGAAGAGTACGCCGATCGACTATGACGGTTTCAACCAAGCGTGAAACCCCCAATATCCTAGTCCCTTTAGACACCAGTTAACAGAAAGCTATAACAACCAACATGTTATTTGTTAAAATAGTACATCATTCTGTGTACTAATTCGTTAAGAAATAAAATATAGCCCCCAGTATATCGTTAGTGACTTCCAACATACCACATAGACGGGGTCATGCGTCGCTACCCCTGCGTATACCCTTTCAATGCCATGTAATTGTGCAGAAGGGGCCCAATGCATAGTACTTCCTTGGCATTGAATATCGGCCAGACAACTGGATTTTGTTTTAGATGAAAAGTGCAGTTGCAGCGGAGTATCCCTCTCTTTTGTGTCGTCGTGTCGTGTCATACATGAACTTAAAGGGGCAATGGAATATGTATCAGATGCTCTCCCTGAGGCTCTCTTTCGTGCCGTCGTGTCGTGTGACAGTCATGCATGAAAGGGGCAGTGGAATATGTATCGGATGTATCCAATACAATGTCATATTATGTATTGGATACATCCAATACATATTCCACTGCCCCTTTCATGCATGATAAGACACGAGAGAGAGAGAGAGAGAGAGAGAGAGAGAGAGAGAGAGAGAGAGAGAGAGACGTTAAACTTTCCCAAGAGTTTAATATTATGTACTTTGTTGCGGATACATCCGCCGCATATTCCTTCCTGTACGACAATACACAACAGTTACTGCATAAAAGAAAGATAGAGAGATATGTTCGGTTAATTCACAACTCAGGCACCACATACAGATGTCCCATCCACATCTGCAACGACAGGCTGACTGGAGAGAGCAGATTCACAAAAGAGCGCGTTTCCCTGAAGTTCGCGCAGTTTGTGCCGGATACATCCGCAACATGTTCCGATTCCCCTGTCATATATGACACGCATAATGGCAAGAGAGAAAGAAAGAGACGTGATGGATGGTTTCAGAAATAAAAAACCCCATATAACTCTCTCTTTCTCTCTTGCTCGTGCAATTGTGGCTTGTCATGCAAGGAATGGAATACGTACACTAGTATGATCTTCTGTGAAACTTTAGTGAAACGTGATCTTGTGTGAGTCTCCCGTGCTGTTGTGTCCTGTCATACACGAAAGGGGAAGAGCGCGTTTCCCTGAAGTTTGCGTAGTTTCTGCCGGATACATCCGGAACGTATTCCGCTTCCCCTGTCATATACGACACGCATAATGGCAAGAGAGAAAGAAAGAGACGTAATCGATGGTTTCACAAATAAAAAAACCCATGTAACTCTCTCTCTCTCTCTCTCGCTCGTGCCATTGTGGAATACGTACACTAGTATGATCTTCTGTAAAACTTTAGTGAAACGTGCTCTTGTGTGAGTCTCTCGTGTTGTTGTGTCCTGTCATACACGAAAGGGGAAGAGTGCATCAACAGGCAGCCTGGAGAGAGCAAACTCATAGAAAAGGACATTTCCCCAGAGAGAGAGAGAGAGAGAGAGAGAGAGAGAGAGAGAGAGAGAGAGAGAGAGAGAGAGAGAGAGAGAGAGAGA